TGAAACACATGTCCTTAGTTGTTAAGAAATTTCTAAATCGTATTGACTAACAACACTCTCCAGATTTAGGAGCTGTTGCTCTACTGAGGTGTCTAACTTGTGTCCATCTTCTGTGACTTTGCTATCTTCGCAAACATTATCTTAATACATTTCTTACATGATTTTGATGATGCATAGTTATTTAATTTCCAATTAATATAACCAAGCTAAAAGGTAAGTAGAAATAACTATTTTACTAGGTTGAGAGCCTCTTGAATATAGATACTGATAAATCCAACTTTTAACCCCCAGTGCAGAATTCAGTGCCTTATTTACTGTACTTGTTTTACCTATTCTTATTACATAATGACAGAATTTATGAAAAATGTGGTGCATTTTATCCCATTGATTCTTTGAATGAAATGCCTGTTTTTCTCCCCTCTCCATAATAAAATCTCCAGATTGCTCAAGGTTGATCCTGGATCCCTCTGTTCCTTTTTGATCTCTCCATTCTCACAACTTAACACATGCATATTGTCTGCCTGATATTTAACATTTTTTAGAATTGTTTTGTAATTTTTATTATTTGTCTTATAAAAGTTTATAACATTCTAGTGATTAACATCAGAGAATTGGGGGAGGATTGGATAAGGCTATAATCCCATATCTACAGCTATGCAGCTATGTGACCTTGAGCCACTTACTGGGAATCATGGACCAGCAGTTCTTCATCTGTTAATGGGTTTGGATATAGATTGTAGGATTGTCGTGTAATTTAAATAAAATATGTATTTTAAATGTTTAATGCAATGCCTAAATGTGGGCTCTCAAAAAATGGCAACTGAAAAAACTTTTATAGTATTTAGTACAATTCGAGAAACATGATAAACATTCCATAAATATGTGTGAGTTGGCTGACTGAAATGCCTGAGTTTCAAAAGAGCTAAATTGAATGTTCATTTGACTCTTTGGATAATGGAAAGAACTTTCTCTGGCATCTCAATGGTTGATTATGCAATCACATGCTTTGGCGCCTGAACCCTGTACTCCGCTCCCGGGTGCTCCTCAGATGTTTGTTCTATTCTAGGAGTCTCACTTGAGTCTCACTTTACCACAGCCGTATGTATTGGGGATTGCATAAAATCCTGCCTCAGTCAAAAGACACTGGGCTCTTGTAAGGACGAGTGACCCACATGTACTATTGATGTCTTCTTCATTCTTACAACAGTTCTCTTGTCACGTAATATCTCCGCTCTTTGATTCTCTACCTGCAGGAATGGGTTCAGACTATTGTAATTCTGCAGAGGGCAGACTACCATTGGCAATTTGAATGAGATGTGTAAAAAGTGAGAAAGGAAACATGTCTAACCCCCTTATGGATTGAAAGAAGAAATCTCTTTCCCATTTAGTAGTCTGGGAAAATACCAATGTTCTACTCTAAGAAAGTAGGCAAAGAGGACCATATAGTTCAATTTCTCCGTAGGACTGTCTCTACCCAAGCCAGACACAGTAAGGGTTAGGGTAACTATGTAATGTAAATTCGATACTCATCAAAGAGCATCACGAGAAAAGAACACTATGTATGGCCACAAAGCCATCCTGAGCAGCTGACCATGGTGCTGGACTTCTTCACTCTTAGCCTGAATTTCTGAATTGCAAGTAACTGATTAGAAAATGAACACACATTGCAGATGAAGAACTGTTACTAAAGGAGACATGGCTGAAATGTCCATATAAATTGGAGAGGGAAAACCCAAAACTCTCTTTATTTGACCAGCGCTATTCTTTAACCCGTTAACTTGAATCCTGCCTCTCTTTCTCTCTGTCTCTCAGCTCTCCTATATTTCTATTGCTTTTCTGATTCATTTTTTTTAACAGAACAAACCTGATCGTGGATGTCATAAACTCTTTCCCCTTTGAGGCTATGTGACAACAGGAAAAGAACAGTATTTTAAAATAATATTTAAAGAATTCATATAAATAACTAAGATAAATATTGAAAAGATACTAAAATGTTAGTAAAAGAGATAATCAGGTTGTAGGATTTGGATTTTTTTCCTTTTTTATAGTATTTTCAGTTTTTTAAAAACTGATATATATTTTATAATCTAAAATTAATAGCAAAACACCTGGTTAGATATAAGTAGATTGTAATGGTAGCTACACTAACCACAGTCTGTGTAAATGGCACAAGTAATTTATCCTCTTTGAGCCTACTATTTCATATCTGTAAACTGGGGCTAATATGTACTTATGCCATAAGTCTTCCTTGAGGATTGGACTGGACCTAACCACACTGTGGATACTCTGTAAATATACCCCATTGTCAGAGACAGTGGTGGATCATGGAGGAGTCAGGAGTGCAGACTTGAAGGTGAACAAGCCTGACAGGAATAATGAAATTTGTGATGAAAACCCTGTTTCTAATGTACTCAATTTTCCTCAAGCACCTACTTTAGGAAGGGGTTCTCCTAAAGGCTAGAGATACAGAAATGAACAAGGTGTTATCCTGGTGCTTATAAAACCTATATTATAGATTTTCCACTATGGGCAAAGCAAAGGTATTATCACTCCCCTTTGCTTAGTGCTTCCAGAGATCTTCTAGCTATAATGACGTAGGAGGGGCTAAAGTACTAATCTGTGGCAGTGTTTCTCTAGAAGAGGAACCTAGAAACTTAGGCTATTTAAGAAGTATCCTAGGTGACTGCTTTAAACAGGTGAGTACAGAAAACACTCAACTGTGGTAAACCGATAAAAAGGAAGAGCTGCAGAAACAGATAAAAAGGATGAAGACATTTTTAAACTATGCGGAATATAGCTAAAATATATTCTTACTACTTAATCATTCACCAAGTAAGGTTTTAGTTAATTACCACCATGGGTGGAAATATAGAGAAGACGGAAACTGGGAAGAAAGACTTATCCTGCCATCTATGTATCGTAGCAAGGAGTCGGTGCTATTCATCTTAATATTCCATTTATGTTCAGAAAAGCCAGCATAGTTCAGGGTGAGGCATTCAGATATTGTTGGAATACATGAGCAATACTGAGCTATTTTTGGCATTTGTCCATGTTTACTCATTGCTATAGAAAATGTATTTATAGTGTTCTTGGTTTTCAGGTCCATACTCTGCAAGACAAGTCATTAGCCCCAGATTAGAAATAAGGAAACTGAGGCTCAGAAGACATTCACCATAATAAATAACATCATAAATAAAATAAAAAACATAACATAATTTGATGGCACATCTGTAATCAAAACAAAATGTGTTACATGACCATACCTATGCTATTTCTACCATCCACACCATGAATGAATCTGGTTTACAACATTAGATTTTGTATGTGGGAGCAGAGTTTTGGATGTCAAATGCCATACCTGAATTGGGAATCTAAACAGTAGTAACTGAAAGATTTCTTAATGTTACCAGTAGAAGACACCTGCTTTGCTCTTGATAAGTAATAACAACTTTACCCACAACTCAAAATGCTGTGTGAGCCACTTGTAACTGGGAGGCTCAGCTTCATTCATCTGATCTCCTTTCTGGAAAACTGAAAACCAGTTAATGGATTGATGCATGTTTGTGTAGTACTTGGACACCCAGCATTGAGAAAGTTCTGATGCTTGCTTCTTTAGTTATGGTAATTACAACCAATGAGGTTACCAGCACAATTTTTTACCACTCTCTTCTAGGTGAGATTCTACTTTTAAAGGTATTTTGGAGTGTACTTAATCTAGTATATTAGGTGTCAATTTTGAGTTAATTTGAAATCTAGAGATTCTTTCTGCTATCCCTGCCTACAGTCACCATGGGGCCCCAAGAAGACCCTCAGAAATGCTTCAAAATTATACTGTTTGGTTTGGGGGCACTAATATTCATTCTTATGTCTCTCCAGCTAATTGCTAAAATTTATTTAACTTTTTTGTCAATTTTCCATGCAACTTTTTTTTGGTCAATCTTCCATGCAACTTGATGTTACAAATTACATTTTGCAATTTCTTTCCTTCTTTACTATTTTATAGTAAAGACAAAAAGATAACTATTTTCCTCTCCCTTTAATATTAGGAAATATCAGATGGGAAGCAGGGAGTCATTCTTACGAAAAACAGTCATTTACTTTTTTTTCAGCTTATCTCTTTTTTCCTTTCTTTCCTTTTCCTATAGAAGAGCATTTTTGTTTTGTTTTGCTTTGTTTTGCTTTTGTTTTTCTGTTTGCATCCTTGGGAACTGTGCTCCTGCCTTTTGCACTCAACTTACCCTTCCTTCAGAAGTGCCTTTGATCATGTACAGGGGGCTGGGCCTCTCTCCTCTTTCTCTGGGGTAAGAAATTGGTCACAATGAACGCGACCTGCCTGTACCGCAACAGGTCCTGATGGACACCAGCCCACAGTGGGAGGCTGTGTCCTAACTGTGTGGAGGCAGGAGGGCATTCTGTACTAAGTTTAATGGAATCTGGTGAGTCTAGGACTTACCCTGGTACAGCAAGGGCACCTGAAGAAAATAGTTTCCCTTAAAAAGACATGGGAATGCCTAGAAACTTAGACTTTTTTGCCTCACACTTATGGTCCCCTCTTCCCCAACACAAAATAACCCAGAGCAACCAAAATGCTTCTCCTTCATTTTCCCTCTGAAACTTAACTTTCTTAAATGTACCTAATAGAATAAATTCTGAGCAAGCCTCCTTATAAAATGTGTATATACAAGCCTCCTTATAAAATGTGTGTACAGTTAAACTTGTGAAAGATTGTTTAGAGTTTGAGTTACTAAGAGAATTAAATGGATAAATACGTAGTTAGGCCAATAAATACATAACAATGAATTTGCAACTCTCCCTACATATCAGTGTTATATTGTGTCAAAGAATGCTATATATGCCTCAAACATTTATATCCCCACCAATATTACTTAGACTGTGCTCCAGTGAATTCCACCAGATACACTGCAAGTGTCAGACACTGTGACCTGTGGAGTAAAGGGGCTCTCTATCCCTTGGCATTGGAAGGGGAAGTCTGAGCCTACCCAAGTTGAGGTGCAGGGAGAGCCTCCCCTTCTGGAGTTCCAAGGTGATGTGGTCTCCACGCTGACCCTCTCCATGGAACAGGACCCCATCTCCTTGCATGCTCTTGAACTTCAGGGAGATCACATCTTTGAGAGTACTCATCAACTTCTGATTGAACCTGTACAGAAGTGAGCTTCGGCCATCAAAGTCAGCAACGTCTGATTCTGGGAACAAAGAAGAAGCGGGAGAGAAAAATCAGTGCATATCCTCATGACTGCTGTTCCTGTTTCCCTTATTAGTTTGTGTCCAGTTCACAGAAATGTTCTTGAGATCTGCCAGGTCTAGTCTCAACAGGAAACATGTAGACTAGAACCAACCTAATTAGACTCGAGGGAATTATTCATTTACAAGCAGTCACCACACACTGAGTCAAAGTGAACTGATCATCAGTTTAGAAGTAAAAACTCTCATTAGTGGTATGTCAGCTTTTGCTGGAGGGGACAGGGTAAGAATACCGCAAGTACCTATGTCTGGCTTACTGCGTCAGATGGCTTAGAATAATCTCCCATGATTTGTCTTCCTGACAGTCAGAACCACTTGATCTCCTCATCTCAGACACAACATTAGAGATGAAAAATAGATATAATTATGATGCCAACTCCACATAGTACTGTCTCCCTAGAAGGCTGTGTTGAGGAGGATTCTGAGGCTTCTACTGCGTTCAGTGGGAAAAAAATACTCAGCAAAAGAAGACTCGTATTTGAACAAAGAGGGCAAATGTACTACATTCCTGCCATAACTGCCTTGTCTGTGCTGGTGATATTTATCATTTTAGTGTTTTTATACAAAACATTCAATTCATTATTGTCAAAGCAAAAAAAAAAAAAAAAAAAGGGGGAAGGTCAAGTAACCATGATTTAGATAAACTTATGTAACAGGTATGTGCAAACATACCTGACAAATTATGCCAAAAATCTAATAGAGATTCTATTTGGAATGTGTTGTTGTAGGTTATTTTCATGTTTTTTTTTTCTATTTTTTAATTACAAAAACTTCCATAATGAGCTTTTATTGTAGAAAAAAATGTAAGACTGTTTAATTATACATTGAAACTGATTCATTATATACCATGTTCTGTGGGTGGGATTGTGGTGATTATGTGGAGGGAGTGGGATTTTCTATTTAAAACTGAGTACCCAAGAAAACTCAATTTTTCTATTATCCATCATGCAATTAAAATCCTCAGCCTGAGCATACACAAAGATAACGTTTTTTTCCACCAAGGATCTAGAAACATTCTTTGTGAATCTGAGGTTCTGAAATGAAAAGGAAAATGAAATAATACTTTTCTGTAATTAGTTTTAACACCCAACTTCACAATTTATTTATATGGAATGAAGTGGTCCCAACCATAAGGCTGCTGATGGAAACCTCGACTTTAAAAAGAAACTGTCCAGAAGACTTTCAGAAATGTCCACCTTTCTCGGCACCTCCCCTCCCGACCTCATCAATGCATTTATGCCTGTTATCTCAACTAGGATTCCACCCAGACCAAAGTGGGGCCGCAGACCAACAGTTGCCACCACTCACGGAGTAGTGAGGACTGTGATATAGATAAGATAATGGATTCTCAACTGTGATGACCATAGTTCGTTAGTTGGGTCACCTTGGTCTAAGGTGATTGTATTATTTATAAGATGAAGATAATTATATCCATTAGAGAAAACTGCTTTGAGAAGTAAATGTGCTAAGACTTACAGAGTGATGACACATCCGTGTGAACTCATTGTGCATGGCACATTATTTGTGTTAAATCAATAATAGATAGGAGAGGTATTAGTAGTAATTGAAATAACAGGAATCCTTTAGTTCCTATCGAGGCTACTCTATTGGTTGGCACCTGACCTTCTTAACCCCAAATGATGCCTTTTCAATTTTGATTCACATATTTACTGCCCAAGGATGCCAAAGTAGCCCCAAGCTTCTTGTTCTGTCATGTTTTGGCTTCTCACACTCTAGTTGAAATTACTGTGTGCACAGTGCGTACGTCACTATGTACGCAATATTAATATTCTCTTCTGATTGCTTCTACTCTGCCACTGCACCAGATTGTGGAGTAGAAATTGGGTCCTAGGTGGCCCCTTTAGTGCCCAGCAGTGAGTAGAAGGACCACATAGTGTCCCACAGAGGTTCTAAAGGCAAATGCAGAGATTAATGCTCACGGTAATGCTCACTGAACTGACTCAGTTCAAAGGGGGTAGATTCAGACAGGGTTTCTTAGAGGAAGTGAGTGGTATATTGGCCTTTAACAATATGTAGGAGTTACCCCAGGGAAAGTAGGGACCCAGTGTCTCCAGGAGGGGGAACAGAGGCATGAGAATGTTTGGTGCATCTCAGTACTGTAGGAGGCCAGTGTGATGGAGAAGGGGCAGAAAGATCTCAAGCTCCCAGTGTGGCATTTCTTGCCGGCTGAGACATACAGCATGTGGTGTGTCTTTGAAGCAGTAACTCAATCCCATCATTATTCATGGATGCATTTGTCCCACTCCCATAGACAGATATCGCATCTGAACTCTGGGGTTCTCTAGCACTGGGCACACCCCTCTGTTTTTGTTATCACATGCCATATGGGAATCACAGTCCACAAACTGTATACATCATGTCCACTCACTCATACCACTCTTTATCTCCCAGCCAGCACCAGCACTGAGCACAGAGTCTGAACATGGCAGGTGGGGTCCCATGTGCGGTGAAGTGAAACCACATGGAGGAAATTTGTCTTTGGTTCCCTGGTAAAGACATTAAACTAAGGAGAGGAGCCCTCTATACAGCAGCTCTACTACTCACCAAGTGTCTGACTGGGGGTAAGTTTACGTCAAAACTATGGGCCTCGCTTTGCATCCTTATAAAATGGTGCATAACAATGTATTCATTTACACGTACAACTGATTGTAAGAATGCAGTGAGAGAATTTGGATTAATATTTATATAAATAAATTATATATTTATATAAATATATATACATATTTATATAAATATATTTATATAAATGTATGCATATTTATATAAATATATTTATATAAATGTATGCATATTTATATAAATATATATAAAGGTGTGTGTATATACATATATATACACACACACACACACACACACACACACATATATACCTTTGACACTTTTTTGTCCAAGCAACTGTTATGGATAAATTTATGGAAATATAAATATTCATTATGTTTCTGCTATTTCCCCCATCCCTCTTCATTTTATAATGTCATACTCCAGTGTAATTGGCCACCAGGACCCCACATGGAGGCCTGAGTTCTTGGGTCAAGTGCTGAATTTCAAATGTTTCCTTTTTCCAGTCCACTCACTCACTCACCTCCCTCCCCATTCATCATCGTTACTATGATCTACATTCCATTCCCTCCAATGTCTGGCTAGTCTAGTGACTTCACTAAGGATACAAATGTTGATGGCAAAGGGACATAGGTTATCTCCAAGAAAACACATCTTCATGTTGTCATAAGACCTAGAGAAAATGAAGCCAATCAATAGAACAAGTCTAACAGAGCTGGGTTTCAATTCTGGTTTTGCTCCTTATTACCTGGGGGCGGGGTTGGTTGAAGCAACTTTTTGGATTTCTCTGAACCTCCTCCTATCTGTATGATGGAGCTTACAGCAACCTACTTTCAAAGTCATTGTGAAAATTGCACAAGCTCAGACCTGAAAATACAAAGGCGTTCAATAAAAGAAAGTACTCGGTAGTGAAGATTTTCAAGCATGGCGTAAAGATGCCATCAAGAACTTGGTGTGAAAAATTCTGTTTGGGTTTGGGATTCGGTAGCCTTCACATCACACTGAGTAGGCGTGCATTCACGCCCTCATCATCATTGCCTGCTTTCCATTTTCTATGAATAGTTTCAGAACTGCTTCCTGGATTCCACTTTTGCTATCTTCACCTGACACATTTTTTATCTTTAAAAAGCATGAGAAACAACACACTTCACCATTGCTAAAGTACTTCAGTGAACTTCCTTTGCCCTGAGAATTAATTTCAGCCTCCAGGACCCCACATGATCCTGCTCTGCTCACCTCTCCCACCTCATCCTCTGTTCCTTTCTTCAACCCTCACACTGCTCCAGGCATGCTGTGATTTTAGTGTATGTGCATATGCATGTATGTGTGGGGCTGGGATAATGTGTGTGGAGCCCACATCACAAGCCCTGCAATTCTCTAAGTATTTTTTGCGCATGAATTCATGTAATAACATCAATTAACCTTTGAGGATAATACTGTTATTATTCCCACTTTACAAATAAGAAAAACACGGCACAAAGAGATGAAGAGGTATGTAATGCGCAAATGCCAGGGCCAGGACTCAAACATACCCTGTCTAACCCACTCATGCTGAGTCCACTGAGCTCTTTCCCAAGCGCTACTCACTCGGACCACGATGCTCAGCTCATCAGTCAGTTCCCACCTGGTCCTTTTTCTAAGGGGTCCTCCATCCCCGTTAGTCTCCCTCTAAGCACCTTGCCATTCTCTTCGTAATGCACCTCGCAACTGGATTAGATGCTCATCTGTTTTCTCAGTGGTTTATAGTCCAGTTGTCCAACACATCAGTGCATGCCATGAGGACAAGGGCCAGATGTACACTGTTTGCCACATTAATTCAGAGCCTCACACTGGACCCACAAGGGTATGCCATTCAGAGCCACTTGTGAAATGAGCTGTGACCCATCAAGGTGCCTATGCCCAAGCATGATGCTGCCCAACTGTCCCCTGAGTTCCTGCCACATCATCTATTTCACCGTTCAGAGCCAGCTGACCATCCACACTGGGAGAGTTAGTTTCTTCTGCAGGCCATGCTCAGCCACTGGAACTGTGATCCGCGTGTGACTCACACACGCTTATTGGTGCAGAGAGGATGCATGGCCTTTAGTGAGAACAGAACTAGCCTGGTGGGAGTGCGGGAGCGTTCCTCTGACCACCACCAGTACCCGATAAGGGCCACACTTTGCTGTTCTCAGAGATTTCAGCCAAATACTCTGCACCTCCGCAATATTAATTACATTGCACACAACAGGCTCCAGTCATTTCCCAGAAACAGGTTTTTAAAACTTTCAAAGAAGGATCAAAGGTTTCCCCAACTGAATACTTCATACTCCTTCCTAGACATTAGGAATACTCAACACTCCCAACTTCACTTGGAAAGCAG